GTAGAAAATGAAGGCTAATCATGTTTTGGGTGTACTATTCCTTTAACAGTAAAGATATGACAAAGTCTAAAGGCTAAACCTCAAACTAAATAAAGGGTTTGTTAAAAAAAAGAACTGCAAGAGAAATAAAAAAACTATTAAACTGTAGTAAAGATTAGAGCTGAAATTTTTTTGATTAAACACGATTAATTGATTATGGAAAACATTTTCAACTAATTTAGTGGTTGAATAATAGTTAATTGAAGTATACAGTCATAAACCTTGCTAAAGAACTATATACTAGGAGCAGGGATTACACCAAAACCATGGAAAAAATGAAAATTAGAACCTCTTGTTATTTTTATTTATTTCTATTTTTTTTTTTACTCTTGTTGTATTTTAAGGGTAAAGACTCATTCAAATGCTTCCTAAGGTATTTTGATATTTTTATTTTATTTTTCATTTTATTTTATTGTGCATGCCATCGAGACATTTTTTTTTTTGCATCTAAAGGGATGTTTGTAAAAAAGTTTTTCTAACATGAATTCCAGCCTGAAATCAGCAGATCTCCTGAGGAGCTGTCTGTCTCTTTCTGCTGCGCTCTCTGTGTTTTAGACGGCTCTGGTGTCACACTGGACATGGTGTCTCTGGGGGAAATAGCCTTCTGGAGTCTCGAGGGAGGTGACCCTCTCTCCTGCCCGGAGGGTGACGACCCCCTCGGTACGCCCTCCGTCTCTCTGGATCATGCTCTGTGTTGACCACTGTCACCTAAACCCGGCATGCTTTGATCTGTCATTTCACCCTGCATCGCCATGGTTACCACCCAGATATACCCGGGCTTGTACTTGTTTCTCATCATCACATGGCAGCCAGAATCGCTGCCCGATCTTTAAAACGTCTGAGCCTAGAGGCGGTTAAGCCCCTTAACGCTGCTGGTGTGATACATGGCGACATGAGGTAGCATGACCTCCGACCTCAGACAGATGGACACGGGATCTTTTTTTTTTTTTTTTTTCTCACCCTCCACCGTATTAATCAGCCATCTTTGAGCTGCCTGCATGCCATCCAGACAGATCAGAGACAACCGGGTTCACCAAGTGTTCTCTCCCTCTCTTAGATGTGGCTGCTGCTTTACGCCGGGGGTCCACGCCGCATGCTGCGGGACTCTCCAGGGTGGAGCGCTCACCTGTCACCAAGCACCGAGAGCTGCCCAGCATCAGCGTCAGCAAGTCAGGCTCTTCTTCCAAGTCGGAAGCCGCGCACCTCACCCCCAAATCTGACACCCACCTCAGCCCGCACAAATCAAGCCCAACACACGAGGTACCTTTTAACTCCTCAGATGCGTGAAACTAAAAGATCTGACTAGATATTTGATGACTAATACAACTGGTTCAGATTATTAGATGGGTTTAAGCTAGGATTGTTTATTCCACCTGTTCTACAACCTGGAAGGAATGAAACTCTGCCATGTCAATTTTCCCTCTGGCAAGGCACCTAACTGCATGTTGCTGCTCTATAACGGTCACACCACATGCGTTTTCAAAATGGCACCTCAACTTAGACCCCTGTGCTTTTCAAAGTCAAACGCTCTGGAAGCTGAATGCTCAATGCTCCGGTTCTTTATGTTCTCTGTTCTTTTCTTTATAATCAAGAGATCATCTTTGCTTTATTGGCATTGATGAGTTGGAAAAATGACTTATTAGGATTGTGACCCTACTAAACTCTTGTGTCTGTGGCAGTCCCCTCTGCATAGCAGTGGCCCACAGTGCTGGGAGTGAAAGCCGTTCCGGCTGTTGGGGATTTCCTGCTACTCTTTTTAGCAGCTGAAACTGAATATTAAGCGTTTCTCAGGTTTGTGGTGAAAACTGCAAGAACTAAAATTGATTCTTTTTCACAGGCAGGTTTGGGCATTTTTAGTAAATGTAGGTAATTTTAACTGTTTCGTTACAATTCAGTAGTAAGATATTCTTCTGGTTTCTCTTCCCTCTAGCTCGTTAAAGAGTATGCATGCTCCTCCATTTCATTAGAAAACAGCTACTAGAACGGTCCAATGTCTATTCTGACAGCACGTCTTTTATATACAGTTAAAACGCTCAAGCCTAGCAAGTTTGTCCTCTTTCAGCTACTGTAATCAACTAATATGATGTAACATGCCGTGTTTAATTGGATGTGCATGCCACTTATATATATCTATATTTAATTACTCATTCGAAACTTCTATTAGTCTCTTGCAGAATATGAATTTATGAAACCAATACTTCATTTTTGCAGATAAAAAGTCAGACACTGCCGCCTTAAATACACTGTAAAATGCTGCAAAACTTAAAATTCTTTTTTAATTAGAAATTATCAAGCTAAATGAAATGGACCTGTAACGTTTGCTTTCATCGGAATATATTTATATCAAGGCTGCAGATCTTCCTCTGTCTTTATTTCTGCACAGTCACGTTGTTTTCCATGGATTTATTGGATTAGAAAAAAAACTCCTTAAATCTGCCTATCATTGGATAAAAGCACTGAACTGCACATAAACATAAGATGAATATTTAGGGTCTGCTGCCTGAATGCGGATCTAAGGAGTCTGCCTCTGTTCCTGCATGTCGGTGGTCCGTTTATCTACTCACCCATCAGCCCCCAAAGCTCATATTTAGTCAGATAATCCACTCTGCACTGTGGATTATGAAGGTTATATAGTAGTAGCTGGGAATGATTATCTCCCCAGGGAACTATGAATACAGCTTCTCTTATTATGTTTATTTATATTGAGACATCAGTTTGATTAGTGACTGATTTAAGATGGGAGTATTTGTTCATCCTAGAGCTTTAACTCATTTCTTCAATTTGATTTTGAACCAAAGTTTATATTTTCTCCACTTTAATGTCAAAGACAATTTGCTGCAGTTTTTTATACTTGTAAAAATACATTTTATAAATGTTAATATGCTAAATCAGGTCTAAAGGGTTTATATTAGGGCCTATTCACTATCTACATACTCTCCCTAAATCAGGTTTTTATAAACAAAATAAGTTATCACAGCTTTATATTCCGCACTCACCAGGTGAATGTGAACCAATCAAAGCTCTGGGTAAATGCAGAGAAGAAATCTCTGCGTGGATGTGCCAATTTTTTCTTCTGATAAATAAAAAGAAAACTGAAGTAATAATTTTGGACTAAATGCAGAGTTTATAAGTTAGCACAAAGCTTCAGTTAATGCAGCAAGAAACCACCTATCAGCCTCTAAATATGGGTGTAGTTATGGACTCAGACCTGAATATTCAGAGGCTCATAAAGACAGGAACAAAGTCAGCCTTCAATCACCGGAAGAACTTCTCCTAGATTAAAGGACTGATGTCTAAGCAGGACTGATTCATACCTTGATCTATAGTAGTGGTGTTTTCCCAGGTCAGTTTAAAAAGTGGATCAAACAGCTGCAGCTGAGCCAGAATGCTGCTGCTATCATCCTCACTAAAACCGAGGAAGGTGGACACATCAGCCCAGTTCTAAACTCCTTGCATTGACTCCCCGTTTCTTATAGAATAGACTTTAAAACACTTCTTTTAGTCTGTAAATCACTGAATGGATAAGCTCCAAAATAAATACTGACTTGTTGTTAGTAGATCAACCATCGAGAACCAGAGCCAAACATGCAGAAGCAGCTTTAGTTCTTATGCTACACTAATCTGGAATAAACTCACAGAAAACTGTAAAAGTGCTCAAACCGTCACCTGCATAAAAAAAGACTACAGGGACATTTAGTAAGTTTTTACTGAAAAAATTCACTTAAAATAGCCTTTTTATTTTGAAGCCTTATGACTAAAACATAGTTTGATGAGAAGACTGACACCTCAGTAGTTCAGGGCAGATGCATCTATAAGCCTGTGGCTTATTTTCCATGAATGATTCGGGTTACAAGTTCTCGTGCTGTTTCGGCAGATAGGGTGTCATGGGCTTCCATCATCCATCAATCGAATTTAATGAGCTATGTAAACATTATTAATTAAATTTTCGTCCAACTTTTTTTTAAATATGTATATATATTATCATCTTATTTTACATTTTAAATCTCTTTATTTATACGTTACAAACTACAGCCCTTTTTTCTTCTAACGTCCAGCACTTAGACTTGTCTTTTCACGAAAATGTGACATATTAAGAAAATTGCCTTCGTTTTACTCTGAAAAAGGTTAATTAAAAATTAATAAAATCTTAATAAGTCTATTTCATTTGATATAAGTAGTTTTATATTCCAATGAAATACAATTTTTGCATTTAAAATGAGAAAAAAAAGTCCATTATTGTATCTAAGTGCAGTGCACATAATTTTTTATCCTAAGGGCCAAAATACTTATCCAATTACCCACTGAAATGAAGTGTAAATACACTTCAGTTAAGAAATTTGTATTCTTTTTTTGATAACGTTTTGCAGTGTAAGTATAAATAATAGTGGTATAGTCCGAGTCTGTTCAGGCTTTTATTAGTCCTGAAAAGATTAATTTGTGAACCTCGAAAATAAACTCATTTTATGTTTTCTTCCTGTTTATCGTCATTGCTTCACATCCTGTAACTCACTCTGCACAATATCACATACAGTCAACGACGGTGGTTTCCTTTGCAGGCAGCTCTAAACCACCAGGCTGTTTTTTTGCCACACTTTATCTAGATAACCTGTATATATGTACACCTGAATATGCAGATGTCTTATAGGAAATGGAGTGGTGTGATTCAGCAGAGTAAAAGGTTTATCTCTACCTGGAGGCTAGTTAGTATATATCATTGTTCTTTTCACAAATAACCAGCTCTAGTGAACTTGCTAAATGTTCCAAGCTTTGATAAGAGGATTTTAATGCAAACAATGTGTGCATCTTGCACATACATGCTGCAATGCAAAATAAGTAATAAATGTATAAATGATTCCTGCTGATATCATATTGGATCAGTATCAATATGAGGTCAATAATCAAAGCTTTAGAAAATAAAAAGTTGTGCCGGTACAATAACCTTACCCTGTTAAGTCCTGAAGGTTTAGATTTTCAAAATACTCAACAACATAAAACAAACTGAAAAATATATATATCTCTGTTTATCAGGTCTTTATGCAAACTTTATGATGAAACACTGTAATTCTTAATTTTTCTAAGCATGGCAGGGTTTTTTTCCCCATTATTTATGTCACATTTTTTATGTAATTAATTGTCCCAGTTTCTCCTTGCATCACCTCAACCCCCTGCCATCTTCCAGGAATATTCACCTATGGATTATATCACAATGTTTCCATAATCTGCTTAGATTTGTGCAAAAACAGTGACCGCCTTCTCCCAATCAGACTTAATGTAAACACGCTAGTGATCCTTCAGTGAAAAGTGCATGAAAGTGATTTACTTCATTTGCCAGAACTGACACTTGTGAAGCATTCAATATTCTACATATTTTAGGTCCTCATTTAATTGTTATGAGTATTTCAACCCTTAACCTATTGTCAACAAGCTGTTAAATATCGACCTGTAAGTTCTTACAATCCAGTAGAAATGACAGAAAACCAAATCCTGTACTTTATAACCATCGGATTGAAATGCATGTTTCCCCTCAAGCTAGTTTCACAAATGGCTCTCTCTAGGAAATAAATAGTCACACTGACAAGCTCAGAGCCAGTTTTCATGTCAAAGGAATAAAATGAAGCAGATCCAGTCAGTCACTGTAAAAGCTGAGCCCATGGCTATGTATAGGAGAGAAAGAAGACTAAGCACTGAAAAGCAGGCCCAGCACCATCATCTATAACTGGAGGTGTTGATGGCAGCAGCTCGGTGGATATTTCTGTCAACGATGGTGTCACAGACAAACAGGAACAAACCAGATGAAGCTACTATGATTAGAAAAAGCAGAGAGAACATAAAGTTAGAGATTGAACTAACCGATACTGCAGAATGGGAGAATAGAGATTGAATGAAGCAGAATAATAAAAAGTGGTCCCTATGTCCCCCAGCAGTCTAAACATATAGCAGCATAACAGTAGATATAGTTTAGGACAACCTGAGTAACTCCATCTATAAGCTTCATCATAAAGAAAAGTTTAACTCTAGTTTGGAAAGCAGACAGAATATCTGCCTCACAGACTAAAACCAGTAGTTGGAGCTTTACAACTAAAGGATCTGCCTCCCTTTCTACTTTTAGAAATTCTAGGAACAACTAGTAAACCTGCATATTGAGATTGAAGAGCTCTGTTAGGACCATAAGGAATGATCAGATCTCTGATATAAGATAGAACCTGGTTATTTAGGACTTTATATGTGAAAGGGAGGATCTTTAATCCTGGAGACACACTGCCTCTGAAACTTTTCAACAAGTTACTTCTAATTTCGAAAAAATTTATTCTTGGGTGAATCCTCTAAACAGCAACAGCTTTTCACGATTTATATGGATAAGCAGATGAAGGTTGATGAGGAGGCTTACCTTTGATGCTTCTTTGGAGGGGTGGAGGAATTCTCTCTCCATGGCAGCCATAGGCCTGCTAAGGTGGCTACATGCTACTGTGAGGTACTTTATTTCTTCGCCACCTGCAGGACCACTTAAAGGTCACAAACCACCCCTCCACCCCCTGCTGGGGAGGACTTGGCAGTATCATAAGATGCTGGAAGGATGGCTTTTTTTTTCTGTTTTGCTTTTTCTCATGTTAAACCTGATTTGTTGGATCCCTTCCGCCTCAGGTGGACACTGCCAGTGAAGTGGAGGACCTGGACGTCGATGTGGCCCCGGCGCCGTACACGGCCAGCCGGGGAGCGGCGAAGCTTCAGGTGTTTATTGCCAGATACAGGTAATTGTTGAATTAAACCCAGTTTATTTGAACATGAACAGCTTGAAGGGATTCATTCTGAGCACTGAGCGCTTTTCACCTGGAACAGTTATAATCCATACGATGGTCCAAACGACAACCCTGAGGTGGAGCTACCGCTGACTGCTGGGGAATACATCTATGTTTACGGAGACATGGATGATGATGGCTTCTATGAAGGTAACTATGATCTTTACCTGTTTCAGACGCCTAATGTTCCTGCTATTTCTACTTGATGTTTAATATTTTATTGGGCCCAGGTGAGCTGATGGATGGGCGGAGAGGGCTGGTTCCCTCCAACTTTGTGGAGCGTGTGTCAGACGACGACGTAATGAGCGCTCAGCACCCTGAGACTGGGGACGTGTCCCACAACTCCCTGCTAGACAGCAGCTTGCACAGTGCCAGCCACCAGCGTCACCTCCAGGTGGGCGTCAGCGCCTCGGAGAGGACGGAGGCCCCGGCAGCCTCCGGCCCCGCCTCGACCCTCTCAGATTCAGCGTCGGCCTTGTCTGTCCCCGCCCCCCTCACCAACGGCCTGGACTTGGATTTGGAGGAGGTAGGAGTGGACGTTGTGCCTTACCCACGCAAACTTACCCTCATCAAGCAGCTCGCCAAGAGCATCATCATTGGCTGGGATCCGCCGTTGGTGCCGGCCGGGTGGGGAAACGTGTGGAGCTACAATGTGTACGTAGACCAGGAGCTGCGTCTGAATGTGCCATTCGGCGCCCAGACCAAAGCGGTGCTGGAGCGGCTGGACATTAACCTCAAAGCCTACCGGGTGTCGGTCCAAAGCCTGACGGAGAAAGGCCTGTCGGACCAGCTCCGCTGCAGCATGCTGGTCGGCCGGGACGTCAGCGTGGCGCCGACGCAGCTGCGCGTGGACAGAGTTACCGCCACATCTGCCAGCCTGACCTGGCTGCCCAGCAACAGTAACTACGTGCACATTGTGTCCTTGAACGACGAGGAGTGCGAGCTGGTGAAGGCCGGCTGCTACTCGCTGTGCCTCAACAACCTCCAGCCCAGCCTGCAGTACGCAGTCAAAGTGGAGGCGCGGCCGCACCGGACGCCCTGGGAGCTGCCTGTGGAGCGGCGGGAACACAGGAGCGCCACCATTACCTTCAGCACACTAATGGCAGGTCAGGACTTCAAACATTTTCTGTTTTTTTCCACCACTAATCATTTGATTTAATATGCAGAGCTGGTCTATCAGGCGTTTGATCCAGATGAAGAATTTATTCTGCTTTTTGGGTCCTTTTTTTTTNTTCTACTTTTAGAAATTCTAGGAACAACTAGTAAACCTGCATATTGAGATTGAAGAGCTCTGTTAGGACCATAAGGAATGATCAGATCTCTGATATAAGATAGAACCTGGTTATTTAGGACTTTATATGTGAAAGGGAGGATCTTTAATCCTGGAGACACACTGCCTCTGAAACTTTTCAACAAGTTACTTCTAATTTCGGAAAAATGAATTCTTGGGTGAATCCTCTAAACAGCAACAGCTTTTCAAGATTTATATGGATAAGCAGATGAAGGTTGATGAGGAGGCTTACCTTTGATGCTTCTTTGGAGGGGTGGAGGAATTCTCTCTCCATGGCAGCCATAGGCCTGCTAAGGTGGCTACATGCTACTGTGAGGTACTTTATTTCTTCGCCACCTGCAGGACCACTTAAAGGTCACAAACCACCCCTCCACCCCCTGCTGGGGAGGACTTGGCAGTATCATAAGATGCTGGAAGGATGGCTTTTTTTTTCCTTATTTGCTTTTTCTCATGTTAAACCTGATTTGTTGGATCCCTTCCGCCTCAGGTGGACACTGCCAGTGAAGTGGAGGACCTGGACGTCGATGTGGCCCCGGCGCCGTACACGGCCAGCCGGGGAGCGGCGAAGCTTCAGGTGTTTATTGCCAGATACAGGTAATTGTTGAATTAAACCCAGTTTATTTGAACATGAACAGCTTGAAGGGATTCATTCTGAGCACTGAGCGCTTTTCACCTGGAACAGTTATAATCCATACGATGGTCCAAACGACAACCCTGAGGTGGAGCTACCGCTGACTGCTGGGGAATACATCTATGTTTACGGAGACATGGATGATGATGGCTTCTATGAAGGTAACTATGATCTTTACCTGTTTCAGCAGCCTAATGTTCCTGCTATTTCTACTTGATGTTTAATATTTTATTGGGCCCAGGTGAGCTGATGGATGGGCGGAGAGGGCTGGTTCCCTCCAACTTTGTGGAGCGTGTGTCAGACGACGACGTAATGAGCGCTCAGCACCCTGAGACTGGGGACGTGTCCCACAACTCCCTGCTAGACAGCAGCTTGCACAGTGCCAGCCACCAGCGTCACCTCCAGGTGGGCGTCAGCGCCTCGGAGAGGACGGAGGCCCCGGCAGCCTCCGGCCCCGCCTCGACCCTCTCAGATTCAGCGTCGGCCTTGTCTGTCCCCGCCCCCCTCACCAACGGCCTGGACTTGGATTTGGAGGAGGTAGGAGTGGACGTTGTGCCTTACCCACGCAAACTTACCCTCATCAAGCAGCTCGCCAAGAGCATCATCATTGGCTGGGATCCGCCGTTGGTGCCGGCCGGGTGGGGAAACGTGTGGAGCTACAATGTGTACGTAGACCAGGAGCTGCGTCTGAATGTGCCATTCGGCGCCCAGACCAAAGCGGTGCTGGAGCGGCTGGACATTAACCTCAAAGCCTACCGGGTGTCGGTCCAAAGCCTGACGGAGAAAGGCCTGTCGGACCAGCTCCGCTGCAGCATGCTGGTCGGCCGGGACGTCAGCGTGGCGCCGACGCAGCTGCGCGTGGACAGAGTTACCGCCACATCTGCCAGCCTGACCTGGCTGCCCAGCAACAGTAACTACGTGCACATTGTGTCCTTGAACGACGAGGAGTGCGAGCTGGTGAAGGCCGGCTGCTACTCGCTGTGCCTCAACAACCTCCAGCCCAGCCTGCAGTACGCAGTCAAAGTGGAGGCGCGGCCGCACCGGACGCCCTGGGAGCTGCCTGTGGAGCGGCGGGAACACAGGAGCGCCACCATTACCTTCAGCACACTAATGGCAGGTCAGGACTTCAAACATTTTCTGTTTTTTTCCACCACTAATCATTTGATTTAATATGCAGAGCTGGTCTATCAGGCGTTTGATCCAGATGAAGAATTTATTCTGCTTTTTGGGTCCTTTTTTTTTTTCTTTTTTTGGACGAACTAACCCCACTCTGAAGTAATTACATAAGTCAGAAATGGAGGACCAGGAGAGAGAAAAAGCAGTTTCTAACTGAATGCTTCAATCATAAGGTTAATAGTCTGGTTTTAACAGCTTGAATTAAGTTACTAAAGAAAAAATATAAATTGAATGCTTTAATCCATTATTAAATACTGCAAAATGTGTTTGAACTCTTTCCAAATGGGGATGTAGAAACAACAACTGATTAGAACCTGATTAGAAATATGTTTCCCTATCATCCTTATTTTTTCACCTCTATTTTCTTTTTGATGTTGCATTCCTGGCTGTTTAACCAATGAGAGCTCTGGTTGCATCCACAGAGCAACCGCGATTGGCTGAACTTGGTTTTAAAAGTGCGTTCTGACCTGAAGGGTCATAGAAATAGTAGAATGGATAAAGTAAAAAAAGACAAGGCAAGGTGAAAAATAAAAAACGGAACCGTTTGATGAGAATAGGTATTAATGAATGATGATTGGTAAATCTCCATTTAGAAATACGATTTGAAAATACCTTTTCTAGTTGCAGCATTTTGTAATGGATTAATAAATGCAATTTACAATTACTTGAATAATTTCATTCAAATTGGAAATTACAAAACACTTTTAAATTGGACTTCTAATTGTATAATGTGAGTTTTATATTTAAACAGGTTGCATTTCTTTTTCAGTGACTCTCCTGGTCCTCCATAAAAAAAAAAAATATAGATTTTATATTTATATATTTGCTTTTCCAAATTCTTTTTGTCAAATTTAGTTTTTGAATTGAATCGTTTTTAAAGTCTCACAGATCAATTCAACCAAAACTGCTCGCTCATGACACACATTAACCAATGAGAGTGTTTGTTTGCTGATGTCGTTGTTAACCAACAGAAATGCATCCTCGCTCTAGAGAAAATCCCCCAGAGATGAAGAGAATGTGATCTGCAGAACGCAATTAGAAAAAAAAGCCCTGCAATTTATGAAACTCAAAACAGAAATCAAACATTCTACATATAAAATCCGTTAAAAAGAAAATCTGAAAGGTAACATTTGAGAAAAATTAAAAGGGAAACATTTGTTTGAAAGAAAATGAGAGAAAAAAAGATCTGAGAACATTTGATTAAAATGTTTTTTAAAGCTTCATGTATTGTTTTTCTCATTTAGATTTATAAAATATCTTCTTTGCTGCAACAACATTGGAACAAACTGATGTCAGAGTGATTTGTATCTGTATGGCCCTAAAAAATAAAACCAGTTTCTTAAAATAATTATTTCACATTTGCTTCAGTTTCCAGCCCACACTCTGGGAGTTCAGGTATCTGGATCCTTCTCATGCATTTAGGTCGATAGTTGGCAGCTTCCTAGAGTCCTACTCCTGCTGTATTGTCCTGTGTTAGTATAGAAATGCAACCTGCATATAGATTGGCTGCTTCCTGTGATGTAATGTTTTTAATGGCTGCAGGTCCCCCTGATGCCCCGCTGGACGTACAGCTGGAGCCCGGCCCCTCTCCTGGGATCGCGTTAATCAGCTGGCTGCCGGTCACTATAGATGCTGCTGGCACCTCTAACGGCGTCCGTGTCACCGGATACACTATATACGCGGACAGGAAGAAGGCAAGCTCACATTTTAAGAGGGATTTATAATCATCAGAGCACATGCTGATGTGTTTTTCTTGGTATAAGTGAAGGTTTCTCTAATGTGTTTGTGTTGTTGTGCTATGGAAGGTCTTGGAGGTGGCTTCCCCTACAGCTGGAAGCGCCCTGCTGGGCCCCTCTCAGATCCAGTCCCTCCAGGCAGCTCAGGAGCTCACTGTCCGCACCATGTCTGCTCATGGGGAATCCTGCGACTCTTTTCCAGTAAACGTGCCCTCCAGGCTGGCTGCTGTCATGGCAGGCCCTACTCCAACCGTCCCAGTTGTGCCACACCTCCCCTGCAGCTCTGTAGCTCGCAATACCCTGCCCCCTCCACCCTTCTATGGAAACCCTGCTGCCAAAGTCTCTGTGCCGCCCAGCTCTCTGCCATCAGGCCCACACAGGCCGGGCCCTGCAGCGGAGGCTGCTGCCAACCTGCCTCAGGCTCTCCACGCCCAAGATCACCTGGCATCTGCCTCCTATGTGAAGGCCTGGGCCGACCCCTACTCTGCTGCTGCCTTGACTGTCTGCGAGGCCACACTACCAGTGGCCCCCCCCAGTCCTCCAGTGGTAATGCTCACTCTGACATCTTTTAGTAGCTGAAGTGGGAATAAAACTCTATTTGACTGAATGAAGTCTTGATGTTGTGATGATTTATCTCTGTAGGTGAATGTGGCCTCCCCCATCAACACAGCTCCTCAGCCATCTCCAGCACTGGCGACACCTCCTCCAGATGCGGCACCAGCGCCGGTGTTGGATCTACGCAGAGACACGGACAGCCCCGGAACAATACGTCCTTTCCCATCCATCACAGAGTTCATCGAGGACCCCTGTGCCAAGCTCGGGACCCCTGAGCGCGTCCCGAGTCCACCTAAAGCCCCGATCGTCGACCTCCTGAACCCACAGAGCACCAACGTCCTGCGACCACCCAGCACCTCACCGCTGGAGTCGGAGGTGGAAGAGGAAATGGAGAACACTCGCCTGGTGTCCATTGAGGAGTTCCTGAGGCAAGACCAAGAACCATCGTACTGCAGCAGGCAGCAGGTACGC